AGACGGAGGCACGGCGACGATTGTGACGTCAGGCTCGTTTACTCGTTTTTTTGTTGTGGGAGTTCTGTCCAACAGTTTGGCTTTCAGTAGCAATATTAACCAGGTAGGGTTTATTTTGGGGTGCCTACCTTTCTGGGTGCCTGACCTGGTTGATACCTGGTTGATGGCAGACATAAAATGCTTCCAACCATACAGGGGGTTTCTATAAGCCATTACTCCTCATGCCTCTCTGAGGGGTCCAGGTTTTAGCTCATGGTCCCCAGTAGTCCTAGAACTCCATTTGCTTGACTGATGCCAGGGTCTAACACATTCATATCAGCTTGGGATAGCTCCAGGGAGCCGAAGGGACTTCCCCCAGAAAAAGTGCTAAAATAATAAAATCCTTCAAGAGGAGACTTAACAATTTTATACTGGATTTACTGAATTAGCCTGACAAGGATGGCTCAGACCAGGCTGCTGTAAGAGCAGACGGCTCAGACCAGGCTGCTGTAAGAGCAGATGGCTCAGACCAGGCTGCTGTAAGAGCAGACGGCTCAGACCAGGCTGCTGTAAGACCAGATGGCTCAGACCAGGCTGCTGTAAGAGCAGACGGCTCAGACCAGGCTGCTGTAAGACCAGATGGCTCAGACCAGGCTGCTGTAAGAGCAGATGGCTCAGACCAGGCTGCTGTAAGAGCAGACGGCTCAGACCAGGCTGCTGTAAGAGCAGATGGCTCAGACCAGGCTGCTGTAAGAGCAGATGGCTCAGACCAGGCTGCTGTAAGAGCAGACGGCTCAGACCAGGCTGCTGTAAGACCAGATGGCTCAGACCAGGCTGCTGTAAAAGCAGATGGCTCAGACCTGGCTGCTGTAAGACCAGATGGCTCAGACCAGGCTGCTGTAAGAGCAGACGGCTCAGACCAGGCTGCTGTAAGAGCAGATGGCTCAGACCAGGCTGCTGTAAGAGCAGATGGCTCAGACCAGGCTGCTGTAAGACCAGATGGCTCAGACCAGGCTGCTGTAAGAGTAGATGGCTCAGACCAGGCTGCTGTAAGAGCAGATGGCTCAGACCAGGCTGCTGTAAGAGTAGACGGCTCAGACCAGGCTGCTGTAAGACCAGATGGCTCAGACCAGGCTGCTGTAAGACCAGATGGCTCAGACCAGGCTGCTGTAAGAGCAGATGGCTCAGACCAGGCTGCTGTAAGAGTAGATGGCTCAGACCAGGCTGCTGTAAGACCAGATGGCTCAGACCAGGCTGCTGTAAGAGCAGACGGCTCAGACCAGGCTGCTGTAAGACCAGATGGCTCAGACCAGGCTGCTGTAAGAGTAGACGGCTCAGACCAGGCTGCTGTAAGACCAGATGGCTCAGACCAGGCTGCTGTAAGAGTAGACGGCTCAGACCAGGCTGCTGTAAGACCAGATGGCTCAGACCAGGCTGCTGTAAGAGCAGATGGCTCAGACCAGGCTGCTGTAAGAGTAGATGGCTCAGACCAGGCTGCTGTAAGAGTAGACGGCTCAGACCAGGCTGCTGTAAGACCAGATGGCTCAGACCAGGCTGCTGTAAGAGCAGATGGCTCAGACCAGGCTGCTGTAAGAGCAGATGGCTCAGACCAGGCTGCTGTAAGACCAGATGGCTCAGACCAGGCTGCTGTAAGACCAGATGGCTCAGACCAGGCTGCTGTAAGACCAGATGGCTCAGACCAGGCTGCTGTAAGACCAGATGGCTCAGACCTGGCTGCTGTAAGAGCAGATGGCTCAGACCAGGCTGCTGTAAGACCAGATGGCTCAGACCAGGCTGCTGTAAGAGCAGACGGCTCAGACCAGGCTGCTGTAAGACCAGATGGCTCAGACCAGGCTGCTGTAAGAGTAGACGGCTCAGACCAGGCTGCTGTAAGACCAGATGGCTCAGACCAGGCTGCTGTAAGAGTAGACGGCTCAGACCAGGCTGCTGTAAGACCAGATGGCTCAGACCAGGCTGCTGTAAGAGCAGATGGCTCAGACCAGGCTGCTGTAAGACCAGATGGCTCAGACCAGGCTGCTGTAAGAGTAGACGGCTCAGACCAGGCTGCTGTAAGACCAGATGGCTCAGACCAGGCTGCTGTAAGAGTAGACGGCTCAGACCAGGCTGCTGTAAGACCAGATGGCTCAGACCAGGCTGCTGTAAGAGCAGATGGCTCAGACCAGGCTGCTGTAAGAGTAGATGGCTCAGACCAGGCTGCTGTAAGAGTAGACGGCTCAGACCAGGCTGCTGTAAGACCAGATGGCTCAGACCAGGCTGCTGTAAGAGCAGATGGCTCAGACCAGGCTGCTGTAAGACCAGATGGCTCAGACCAGGCTGCTGTAAGACCAGATGGCTCAGACCAGGCTGCTGTAAGACCAGATGGCTCAGACCAGGCTGCTGTAAGACCAGATGGCTCAGACCAGGCTGCTGTAAGACCAGATGGCTCAGACCAGGCTGCTGTAAGAGTAGACGGCTCAGACCAGGCTGCTGTAAGACCAGATGGCTCAGACCAGGCTGCTGTAAGAGCAGATGGCTCAGACCAGGCTGCTGTAAGAGCAGATGGCTCAGACCAGGCTGCTGTAAGAGCAGACGGCTCAGACCAGGCTGCTGTAAGAGCAGACGGCTCAGACCAGGCTGCTGTAAGAGCAGATGGCTCAGACCAGGCTGCTGTAAGACCAGATGGCTCAGACCAGGCTGCTGTAAGAGCAGATGGCTCAGACCTGGCTGCTGTAAGAGCAGATGGCTCAGACCAGGCTGCTGTAAGACCAGATGGCTCAGACCAGGCTGCTGTAAGAGCAGATGGCTCAGACCTGGCTGCTGTAAGACCATATGGCTCAGACCAGGCTGCTGTAAGAGTAGAGGGCTCAGACCAAGCTGCTGTAAGACCAGATGGCTCAGACCAGGCTGCTGTAAGAGCAGATGGCTCAGACCAGGCTGCTGTAAGAGTAGACGGCTCAGACCAGGCTGCTGTAAGACCAGATGGCTCAGACCAGGCTGCTGTAAGAGCAGATGGCTCAGACCAGGCTGCTGTAAGACCAGATGGCTCAGACCAGGCTGCTGTAAGACCAGATGGCTCAGACCAGGCTGCTGTAAGAGCAGACGGCTCAGACCAGGCTGCTGTAAGACCAGATGGCTCAGACCAGGCTGTTGTAAGAGTAGACGGCTCAGACCAGGCTGCTGTAAGACCAGATGGCTCAGACCAGGCTGCTGTAAGAGTAGACGGCTCAGACCAGGCTGCTGTAAGACCAGATGGCTCAGACCAGGCTGCTGTAAGAGCAGATGGCTCAGACCAGGCTGCTGTAAGACCAGATGGCTCAGACCAGGCTGCTGTAAGAGTAGACGGCTCAGACCAGGCTGCTGTAAGACCAGATGGCTCAGACCAGGCTGCTGTAAGAGTAGACGGCTCAGACCAGGCTGCTGTAAGACCAGATGGCTCAGACCAGGCTGCTGTAAGAGCAGATGGCTCAGACCAGGCTGCTGTAAGAGTAGATGGCTCAGACCAGGCTGCTGTAAGAGTAGACGGCTCAGACCAGGCTGCTGTAAGACCAGATGGCTCAGACCAGGCTGCTGTAAGAGCAGATGGCTCAGACCAGGCTGCTGTAAGACCAGATGGCTCAGACCAGGCTGCTGTAAGACCAGATGGCTCAGACCAGGCTGCTGTAAGACCAGATGGCTCAGACCAGGCTGCTGTAAGAGCAGATGGCTCAGACCAGGCTGCTGTAAGAGTAGACGGCTCAGACCAGGCTGCTGTAAGACCAGATGGCTCAGACCAGGCTGCTGTAAGAGCAGATGGCTCAGACCAGGCTGCTGTAAGAGCAGACGGCTCAGACCAGGCTGCTGTAAGAGCAGACGGCTCAGACCAGGCTGCTGTAAGAGCAGATGGCTCAGACCAGGCTGCTGTAAGACCAGATGGCTCAGACCAGGCTGCTGTAAGAGCAGATGGCTCAGACCTGGCTGCTGTAAGAGCAGATGGCTCAGACCAGGCTGCTGTAAGACCAGATGGCTCAGACCAGGCTGCTGTAAGACCAGATGGCTCAGACCAGGCTGCTGTAAGAGCAGACGGCTCAGACCAGGCTGCTGTAAGACCAGATGGCTCAGACCAGGCTGCTGTAAGAGTAGACGGCTCAGACCAGGCTGCTGTAAGACCAGATGGCTCAGACCAGGCTGCTGTAAGAGCAGATGGCTCAGACCAGGCTGCTGTAAGAGTAGACGGCTCAGACCAGGCTGCTGTAAGACCAGATGGCTCAGACCAGGCTGCTGTAAGAGCAGATGGCTCAGACCAGGCTGCTGTAAGAGTAGATGGCTCAGACCAGGCTGCTGTAAGAGTAGACGGCTCAGACCAGGCTGCTATAAGACCAGATGGCTCAGACCAGGCTGCTGTAAGAGCAGATGGCTCAGACCAGGCTGCTGTAAGAGCAGATGGCTCAGACCAGGCTGCTGTAAGAGCAGACGGCTCAGACCAGGCTGCTGTAAGAGCAGACGGCTCAGACCAGGCTGCTGTAAGAGCAGACGGCTCAGACCAGGCTGCTGTAAGACCAGATGGCTCAGACCAGGCTGCTGTAAGAGCAGACGGCTCAGACCAGGCTGCTGTAAGAGCAGATGGCTCAGACCAGGCTGCTGTAAGACCAGACGGCTCAGACCAGGCTGCTGTAAGAGCAGACGGCTCAGACCAGGCTGCTGTAAGAGTAGACGGCTCAGACCAGGCTGCTGTAAGAGCAGATGGCTCAGACCAGGCTGCTGTAAGACCAGATGGCTCAGACCAGGCTGCTGTAAGACCAGATGGCTCAGACCAGGCTGCTGTAAGACCAGATGGCTCAGACCAGGCTGCTGTAAGAGTAGATGGCTCAGACCAGGCTGCTGTAAGAGTAGACGGCTCAGACCAGGCTGCTGTAAGAGCAGATGGCTCAGACCAGGCTGCTGTAAGACCAGATGGCTCAGACCTGGCTGCTGTAAGAGGACAACTATCAAAATCGCAAACAGATAATTAACATGCAGAGAAAAAGCAAAAAAAATATAAATACCTGGAATACTGCTTCTGGAATGGTAAGGTTCACCCAAGCAATCAACTCGTCATCAGTTAGAGTTCGTTCATCAAAGATCTCAACATGGACTGTGTTAACTCCTTTTGGGAGCTGGTACCTGCAAAATTAATTTTGAAAACATTAAGAAAATAAAAGACAAATTACAATTGGAGAAGTGCATCTAGAACAACAACTTGTCAAACTAACAATAATGTCAATTTCTTTTAACATAAGCATAAAGAAATCATGAAGTGCTTATAGAAGGGCAGGACAACCCATAAGAATCCTTTCAAATATATATATATATAACAAAGATTAGGGAGATGGCTGGGCCATTGAAAAATGAGAAAGAAATGTCAAAGAAATGAATGGGTGGTATTCTAAATAAGTACTTTATCTCTGTATTTACTAGATAAGAATTTGTTATTATGCCTGAACAAGGGGACATGACATCATGGTTTAGCAGTAATTGCCTGGGGAAGTTATGTGGATTGAGCTGATGTCACACATGAATAACTTGTTCCATTTAGGTTGAGTGTCGCAGATTAGTGTCTTAACTTCGTCCTAATACATGCGTATACATGTACGTGCGGTACTCCCATCTCCCTGGTAGGTGCCCATTTCCTATTCCATTGGTAGTTAGCTTTATGGAGTTACAAGGGTCTTCCCAAAGAAAACCCACATTGAATGAAGTGAAATGCTAATTTCTGGATGAGCCCTGGTGACTCCCTGACACCCTCCCTCCATCCAGGTCGTAAAGATTGTTGTCATCTTCATAGAACTGACAGTGGAGCAGCAGGCTCTCACAAACTGCCTCCCTCCTTTCCCTAAATGAGAGGAAGATTAGGCAAGTGAGCACTGGTTTCGAGAAGTTTGGATCATTTGTTTACATTGTTGGGGGAGTTCTATTGGCAGTTCCCGAGGCTGCAGTCTCATTTGAAATTAGCAGAAATGTTTTGTTTCTCTGGCTTTCTGGGTGCCTTGGATGCAGACATGAATAAATTTATAGAAATTTTATCTTAGGCACCACCACTCCCTGTGCCTCTGTAGAAAGGGCAACAGAGCGGTAGCTCATGGTCCCAGCTAGGCCAATAGAACTCTGCGGCTGATGGGACCTAGAAGTATAGCACACTATCAGAGATAGTAGCTTCAGGGTGCAACAATTGGCTTCTTTCAGAAAAGAAAACCATGTGAGAGACCCAGACAGTTGTTTCAGTGCTTTGTGAGGGAAGAAGCAGGGAAGAATGTGGGGAGGGACAAAATGAGATATGGTCGAGGGAGTCAATAAGGAGATGGAGTGTAGAGTGGGGAAATAGGGAGATGACACCCAGATGCAGCTGGTGCATTGGAAGAGACAGCCTCCGGACTGCCCAAGCCTCATCCTGAGCTAAACCCTGCCCTAGATCTGAAACGCTCAGATGCTTCGGACCCAGAAGCATGAGGGAAAGAAGAAGGGCAAACCATGCCCACCTGGAAAGTAAAAGGAAGTACAGACAGAACTGCAGTCAAGGAGACCAGCACCTCTAAATCTAAGTCCCGAAAAACCAAGTGGAACAAATCCGGAGCTTTCAACCGGGGGCACAACCTGGCACGTAGCAAAAAAAAAAAAAAAAAAAAAAAAAAAAAAAAAAAAAAAAAAAAAAAATGCCTACACAACCCTACTGCTGCCCCGGAATAACCAGCGACGAATGGGGTGACTTGGATTACATGAGAAGAACAATTCCCACATGACTCAGGGTCATAGGTGTCACCGATCCAACATGCAGAACGGAGGGGGCTGAATGTATGATCATCACTCCTAAGGCACAGGTGACGAACAATCCAAAAATTTGCACAGGAAGAGAGCAGGCTCGAAGAGGTATCGCTTGTACAATTGAGCCCGAAAGGGTTTTCCAGGGCCTGTAGGGTGAATGAGCCCCGCAGGAAGCTCAGGCACTGGGGGCCAGCTATGTTGTTAAACCCTGTTGGTGCAGGCAATCAGACCACAAGAAACTGCTGGAAACCCCAAGGGTAGCAAGGGAGTTCCACCACACTCACACACTGGGCAATCTAATAAGGCAAAAGGCAGAACTCCTCAGCAGAAGCAAGCAAAGTGCCAGCAAACAAGGAGTAAAACTACTTAGACCCAACGTTGATGCACCATCACTAACTGAAGATCTGGCAGCACCAGCCGCAGTGTGCCCCTCCAGCTAAAAATACTCAATAACCCAGGGCAAGATGGAACATCCAAGACCACCCAGCGTACTCAAAAGGGTGAGGACCACCTCAAGTATGAAAGCAACTTGACAGAGGCCTAACAGCTGATTGGACGGTGCTTCGGATTCGCAGTTCTTAGGTTCCAAGTTCGATCCCCAGTGGAGACGGAAACAAATGGGAAGAGTTTCTTTCACCCTGATGCACCTGTTCACCTAGAAGTAAATAGGCACCTGGGAGTTAAGACAGCTGCTACAGGCTGCTTCCTGAGGTGTGTAACAAACAAAAAGGAGGCCTGGTCCTCAGGCCACCCCGAAAATCATTTCGAAAGCCCTGAAATCATCTCAAGATAACCAAGAAAATGGGAGTGTTTCCTGAATGAAAACTTGGCAAATGAGTCACCCGAAGCAACCAGCCCCAAAGAACCAAGGACCGCATCAAACCAACTCGGTTCAGATAATGAAACACCGGGGAACAGTCCGAGTGGAACCGAATAGTCGATCCGCAAGTGACCTGAACCTCCAAAGCTGGTGGGTTCTGACCCTCCGAGTCGGAGGCACGTGTGCCACCCATGGTTGTTCACTCAGAACTGAGCCAGCCAGCAGTTCTAGGGCATGCTGGGAATTCTTTTCAAGATGGTTGCCTCTCACTGGAGGTCCAAGGGGTCCATCTCGTACCCAACCCACCGCACGCACGTTTTGAATCTTACGGTATCTATAATTGGGTTTTCTCGGCATGCGTAATGCCAAACCTTGAGTTATGTTGGGTGGCGCAGTGCAATGGTTGAGGGTGATATTTAATTGAATGAAACAAATGATGGAAGTGCTTAGAAAAGCCAGGAAATTACAGAGTAATGAAGATGGGAAACTTTGGTCATTAAGACAAGGCCTCTTGAAGAAAGACAGAGAAGAAAAGCTAAAATTAAACTTTGATGAAGGGAAACGTCTAAATGGGAATAAAAATAAAGAAGAAAGAAATTATTTTCTCTACAAAGTGATAGGGACTGGAAAGCCAGTGAAATGGAACATAAAAACAAAGCAACAAAATCATTAGGGAAAGGGGGAGTAAAGGACAATGGGAGAGGTTATCTTGAGGTTATCTTGAGATGATTTCGGGGCTTTAGTGTCCCCGCGGCCCGGTCCTCGACCAGGCCTCCACCCCCAGGAAGCAGCCCGTGACAGCTGACTAACACCCAGGTACCTATTTTACTGCTAGGTAACAGGGGCATAGGGTGAAAGAAACTCTGCCCAATGTTTCTCGCCGGCGCCTGGGATCGAACCCAGGACCACAGGATCACAAGTCCAGCGTGCTGTCCGCTCGGCCGACCGGCTCCCGTACAACCGGCCGACTTACAATGGTAAGTCGTAAATTCCCAGAGACAGATCGTAAGTCGAAATATCCTAACTCGAAGCGATTTTTCCCACAAGAAATAAAGGCAATTGAATTAATCCGTTCCTCACCCTCCGAAATATTAACTTACAAATACATTTTATACTGAATACAATTTTGTTCTCTAACTTCAATACAGTACATATGTTTATGTTACCTTTATGGAGGAGGACTCTTGATGGCAAATGGAAGATGGTGAGGAGGGAGGAGGAGAGGTGTTACTGTTTTGGAAGGGGAGTCCCCTTCCATTATAACATGAGGCAGTGATGACTTTTCTGGGATACTCTCTGGCATGTTTTGCCTGCATACTACTGGGACCTGCTTGTGGCTCACTGCTTGCTTGTCTTACTAAGAATCTGTCTAAAAACACTTGTTTTTCCCTACATTTTAACACTTGTCTGTAGTAAGACATCACATTGTCATTTTAAAGGTCAATGCAATGGCCTGCTACAGCTTTATCTGGGTGAGTTTTTTCAACAAAACTTTGCAGTTCTTCCCATACTTTACACATTTTCTTAATGAGGAAGGGACATCCTCTACTGCCTCAACTCACAACTATTTTCTTAGGTTGAACCTTACCACTTGACTTTCTGTGACTCATGGCGTGATATATAATAATCAGTTTCATGTTCAAAAAGCAAAAAATCACCACAAAAACAGAATTTCTTATAGGCGTGATCGTCACTAAACGGGTAGTTCTAGTAAACTGAGGCAGGTTGGCCCGCGTGACCGGGAACCACACGCTCGATCGACCCAAAAGTGTACCAACAAATATCGTTAGTCGACGACACTATCGTAAGTTGAGTTGCATTTTTCAATCAAATTTACATCGTATCTTGAAATTATCGTAAGTCGTGGCAATCGTAAGTCGAGGTGCCACTGTATCTACAGTGGAACCCCTGGTTACGAGCGTCCCTTTTTACAAGTTTTTCGAGTTACGAGCCCGATTTGGTTGGAAAATTTGCATTGGGATACGAGCATTGCATCAGGTTACGAGTTTGTTGACACGCGTACGGCCGACCTAGCTCGTGGTGGCACGATGATTGCACCTCAGTTTACCAGTGCCCTGCACCCAGTGTCAATCCCGCCTGAATTCTTCACAAGGATTTACAGTTTTTTGTCAGATTTTTGGCTATTTGAGCATAAAAGTTGTTATTATATATCTCGCCATGGGTCCCAAGAAAGCCATTGGTAAGGTTCAAGGCAAGAAATCACATGTGAGGATGACAATTGAGGGAAAAACAAGAGATCATTCGGAAGCATGAAAATGGTACTCGTGTTGTTGAACTAGCTAGGCAGTACAACAAATCTTCAGGAGGAGGAGGAGGAGGAGGAGGAGGGGGGGGGGGGGGGGGGGGGAGGAGGAGGAGGAGGAGGAGGAGGAGGAGGAGGAGGAGGAGGAGGAGGAGGAGGAGGAGGAGGAGGAGGAGGAGGAGGAGGAGGAGGAGGAGGAGAGGAGGAGAAGGAGGAGAAGGAGGAGAAGAAGGAGAAGGAGGGAGGAGGAGGGGGAGGAGGAGGAGGCAGTAGAGAATGTCC